AACCATGAATACTTCTCGTGCGTGAATTGTTCTGTTATCGACGTCGTTTTCCACACTGTCGGAGTTGCTGATAACTTTAGTAGAGTCTTCAAGGTCGTAGATCGAGTCTCCTTCTTGGTAGGGTAGAATTACTGTTGTCGTCGTGCCGACTAGTCGGGTACTGCTATCCTCAGGAACAGAACCTGGCCAGTGGACGATGCAGTCTCGAGATGTTATAGTTAGTACGAGACCTTCCTGAGCTCCTTTTAGTGGCATTCTAAGCACCGTATTGAGGGATCCTTCAGTCCGTGCCTGATAAGATTTTGCCATGTTGTGGAGTCCGAACGGAAAAGGACCCAACTTCTTGAAAGGACTCTGAGCGTACTCCGAGTTGTATTCTTGATACGCCGAGGCCTCGTTCTGGAGCCCCACCGAAAAAGAACTCGGTTTCTCGAAAGAACTCGGGTAAGACTCCATCTCAGATACGGAGCCTGAGTTTGAGTCGAATGCGCAAAGCCGCGAAATCTGAGTTGGATCGGACATCACGAGCTGCGCGAACCTTCCGGCGAGTTGATCTATCGTAGTCGCCAAAATAGAAAGGTCTTCATGGTGAACCGAATTTTCGAGGAAACGGCTTCGAAGCTCACCATCGTCGCCTGCCTCGTAGATCCATGAACCGAAGATGAAGGTTGATCCCATCGGGAAGATCATGTTGTCGAGGTCCGTCGAGCTCTTGGATGCAAATTCACCGAAAGCCCCTACCTGGCGCGCCAGCTGTCGATGTTTCACCACCGATAGCCTGCCGCGGGGGTACCCGGGCAGTTTGTTCGGGCTTCGACGTATGCAGAACTCGACGGTAAACGCAAGAGACATTCGATTTATCCTGGTTCGGGCCCTCGACCGTGATCGAGTAATAGCCCTATGTCCAGTCAGCGTTAGCCTTTGCGTTGGATTGATTGTTAGGTGTTTGTTTCTCCTTTCTCTGGCTTGCTTCTGATTCTCGGTCTCACCATCGTAATCCTGGGCAAAGGGTGATATATTGGACTCAGATTCAAACGATGACTTGATGTCGGGTGCTTCTAGGGGACCAATGGTGATTGAGGACGGCGAACCATGAATACTTCTCGTGCGTGAATTGTTCTATTATCGGTGTCGGTTTCCACACTGTCGGGGTTACTGATAACTTTAGTAGAGTCTTCAAGGTCGTAGATCGAGTCTCCTTCTTGGTAGGGTAGAATTGCTGTTGTCGTCGTGCCGACTAGTCGGGTACTGCTATCCTCAGGAACAGAACCTGGCCAGTGGACGATGCAGTCTCGAGATGTTTTAGTTAGTACGAGACCTTCCTGAGCTCCTTTTAGTGGCATTCTAAGCATTGTATCGAGGGATCCTTCGGTCCATGCCTGATAAGATTTTGCCATGTTGTGGAGTCCGAACGGAAAAGGACCCAACTTCTTGAAAGGACTCTGAGCGTACTCCGAGTTGTATTCTTGATACGCCGAGGCCTCGTTCTGGAGCCCCACCGAAAAAGAACTCGGTTTCTCGAAAGAACTCGGGTAAGACTCCATCTCAGATACGGAGCCTGAGTTTGAGTCGAATGCGCAAAGCCGCGAAATCTGAGTTGGATCGGACATCACGAGCTGCGCGAACCTTCCGGCGAGTTGATCTGTCGTAGTCGCCGAAATAGAAAGGTCTTTATGGTGAACTGAATCTTCGAGGAGACAGCTTCGGAGCTCGCCATCGTCGCCTGCCTCGCAGATCCATGAACCGAAGATGAAGGTTGATCCCATCGGGAAGATCATGTTGTCGAGGTCCGTCGAGCTCTTGGATGCAAATTCACCGAAAGCCCCTACCTGGCGCGCCAGCTGTCGATGTTTCACCACCGATAGCCTGCCACGGGGGTACCCGGGCAGTTTGTTCGGGCTTCGACGTATGCAGAACTCGACGGTAAACGCAAGAGACATTCGATTTATCCTGGTTCGGGCCCTCGACCGTGATCGAGTAATAGCCCTACGTCCAGTCAGCGTTAGCCTTTGCGTTGGATTGATTGTTAGGTGTTTGTTTCTCCTTTCTCTGGCTTGCTTCTGATTCTCGGTCTCACCATCGTAGTCCTGGGCAAAGGGTGATATATTGGACTCAGATTCGTCCAATGACCTGATGTCGGGTGCTTCTGGGGGACCAATGGTGATCGAGGACGGCGAACCATGAATACTTCTCGTGCGTGAATTGTTCTGTTATCGGCGTCGGTTTCCACACTGTCGGAGTTGCTGATAACTTTAGTAGAGTCTTCAAGGTCGTAGATCGAGTCTCCTTCTTGGTAGGGTAGAATTGCTGTTGTCGTCGTGCCGACTAGTCGGGTACTGCTATCCTCAGGAACAGAACCTGGCCAGTGAACGATGCAGTCTCGAGATGTTATAGTTAGTACGAGACCTTCCTGAGCTCCTTTTAGTGGTATTCTAAGCACCGTATCGAGGGATCCTTCGGTCCGTGCCTGATAAGATTTTGCCATGTTGTGGAGTCCGAACGGAAAAAGACCCGACTTCTTGAAAGGACTCTGAGCGTACTCTGAGTTGTATTCTTGATAGACCGAGGCCGCATTCTGGAGCCCCACCGGAAAAGAACTCGGTTTGTCGAAAGAACTCAGGTAAGACTCCATCTCGGATACGGAGCCGGAGTTTGAGTCGGATGCGCAAAGCCGCGAAATATGAGTTGGATCGGACATCACGAGCTGCGCGAACCTTCCGGCGAGTTGATCTGTCGTAGTCGCCGAAATAGAAAGGTCTTCATGGTGAACCGAATCTTCGAGGAGACGGCTTCGGAGTTCGCCATCGTGAGGAGCGAGTGTAGGTGTGACCGATCAGGCGAGGGCGAGGTAGGATTGTAGGAAAGCCAAATTCGTTGCGGTGATTGTGTTGGCTTTCTGTTTTCACCTCGCACGTCGTGGTTGTGGGCGAGAGGCGGGCGGGGATCGTAAGGGAGGCAGACCGAAGACGACCCAATAGATTGTCGCACGAAAAGTTGTTCACCTTTTTACTCTTTTTAGTTGTGAGATGAGAGATACCGTTTGGCATGTTATGTGAGATGGAGTACTCAGATTTATTAATTTGGCAGTCCATTGATTGAGTTGGGTCGACCTGTTTAATAATTTATTAAATATAAAATATATAAATATTTGAGAAAAATAATAATATATAATATATATGAGAAAAATAAAGAAAATATATAAATGTTTGAGGTTAGGAGTACCTGCATATGGGCCGGTTCCGATCCTATTTCCTATCCGACACGGCCCCGTGACCATAAATCCCCCCACGAACGGATCCTGATGGGCCAACCCAAAATAACACCAGAATCAATCACCCCGACCGGCCTTTTCGTTCGCCGGCCGCACTCTCTCGCTCGCTCCTGCATCAATGGAGCCGGTGGACGGCGAGGACGACGATTTCCTCGACCAGCAACCAGACCAAGGTGACGACTTCATGTCTGACGATGACGATTTCGTTCACCAGCAGCCGGGGCAAGGGGAGGAGGAGGACTACTTTATGTCCGACGACGATGACGATTACTGGTCGACCGACGACGATGACGATAACTGGTTGACGCAAGGTGACGACGACGACGAGGAGTACCCCTTCCCCGTGCACGCGCCGGCTGCAGCGGCGTCCGAGGCGGCGATCGCGGCGCTGGAGGCGGCCGAGGCGCCGGCCGACGACTGCTGCCCCGTCTGCCTGCAGGACGGCGGGGAGGCGCCGGAGCCGGAGCCGGCGTCGCGGCCGTGGAGCCGAGTCGCGCCGTGCGGGCACCGGTTCCACGCCGCGTGCGTGGAGAAGTGGCTGAGGGTGAAGCTAGCCTGCCCCGTGTGCCGGTTCCCGGCTGCACCCGCCGCCGCGTGCCGCCGTGACGCTGCGCCGGAGCCCCCGCCCCCGCGCCCGATCCCGGACATCGTGGAGGAGTTCTTGGCGCTGGGTTACGAGGAGTCTCTCGTGTTCGACAAGAGCCCGCGATGGATGGAATACATGGCCGACCTTCACCAGGAATTCTTCCCTTCGGCCGGTGCAGCCTGAGAGTGGATTAGGGATCTTTCTTGCTTGAACAAAGTGCTGCTGCAAAACTCTGCAAACCAATCATGGCGGAAGATCTCCAACAAACACCCCGGCCCCTTCCTTTTCTCTTGACTGAAATTGTTGGAGCGTAGTAGCGTTAGGTGGTCACGTGGGCTGGTTTTGACTCTTCTATTGGGCTCCGTATGGTGTGCAGCCCATGTACATAGTTTTGCTAATTGCTGTTCTAGGTAGAGTGGTACACTGTGTTTTCATTGACTATTTTGTTCATCTGCAGCTTAATAACAATCTATTATTTGTCACATGCATGGCCCACAAGTGCTTTTCTTAACCAGGCATTTTAATTTCGGCCCAGGCTATACGTTTGGCTATAATATTCTACTCCCCCTCCCTTTTTTTTGTTACATCTGTTTCCTCTTATTTGCTTGGTTTTTTTTTATTTAAATACGGTGCTATCTTGTCTTACTTTGTTTGATTTTATCATAATGTTTTCATTTCTAGTATATTCTTAGCTACTATCCTTCGGTCTTTCAAATATACTATTGTTTATTTCAAATTTTATAACCACAAATTTTTTTGTTCTAATAACATTAATAGGTAATTTTACATGAAAGTCCTCAATGTTGTTAATTATAAATTTAGTGAACAGACTGTACAATTATATTTACACAAATAAATGATTTTTACTTATTTTTAATACAATTCCAATGTACAAGGATTTATTTTTCCTGTTGCAACGTTTGCTAGTTCTATAATGAATTGGCAAAACACCTGCCGAATTTGCTAAAAAAAACTCACCATATCAATACTAGCTGTCTCTTTTGCTGGAAGTTTAAATAAAAAACAGTTCAACCCTCTCTACTCTTTTGCGGAAAACAGCATCCACCTCTACTCAGAAGTCAGAACCACAAGCACACTGACGCACTGCTTCTAGGCTTCTCGCGGCACCACCAGTCCACCAGCATGGGCTCCCGCGTCCGAGTTCTCAGTGTCACCCATGTCCGACCCTCTGAAACCTCCAACCCATTGACAGACAACGACGACCACGCCATCAAGGTTTCGCTCTTCGACACCATGTTCCTCCCCTACCAGCCGATGCAGCGCCTCTTCTTCTACGAGGGCGACGACCTGCCGCCCGTCCCTGCCCTGCTCGGCACGCTGCAGTCCTCCCTGGCCGCTACGCTCGCCATCTTCACCCCGCTAGCCGGCAACCTCGCGGTCTCCAAGTCGGGGGACGTCGTCATCGACTGCTCCCCGGGCGCCGTCTCCCAGGGATTCAGGTTCGTCGAGGCCGAGTACGCCGGCAGCACTGACGACATGCGCCGCCTTGCCAGCGACGCCGAGCACGACGCCGAGGCGTACGCGCAGCTCGTGCCCACTGTCGTCGTCAGCGCGCTGCCGGTCCCCGCGCTGGCCGTGCAAGTGACGAGGCCCGCGGACACGGACGACGGAGGCGGGACTGGAGCCGTGGTGGTCGGCGTGTCCATGTGTCATGGAGTGGGCGACGGCCAGGCGCTGTGGGAGTTCATCCGAGCTTGGGCTGCCGCGGCGCGGGACGGCTCGCCGGCCTTGCCGGGATTCCTGCCGCCAGTGTTCGACCGCGCGGTGATCAACCGCCACCCCAAGGCAGAGGCCATGTCGCGCACGTTCCTGCGAATCTTCGCGCCGGCATTGCCAACGGTGAGTTCGTTCGTTATGTCAGCCATCAATTCATCGTGTTTGACTGCCAGTGTTGAGGTACCGAGCTAGGGCAGTTTTTTTATTAATGGCCGTGGAAAATTAGGACACCGGACAAACATTTCTCAATCATTGTGATCGAATCAAGTTGGCACAGTGAAGTCTTCTCAAATCTCAATCACTGTTCCTGATCACTCGCTGCCACAGCAGAAGACAACGAGGATCAAGTTGCTTGAGAGTTGATATGACCCTGAAAAAAAGGAAAAGAAAGAAATTTGTGTGTACCAGGATATCCCAAGATTATTCTCAGTTGAATTACTCCGTACTTTTTAAGATGTCAAATTTGGCTGCCTTGGAATCTCAGTTCACTTCAATTTTCCTACTAGTTTGAAAAATGGGCATAGGATAATTCGCGTTGCAATCACATCATCGTCTGAACAGGTGAACGCATTCCCAAAACCGGACACGACACTCCAAGGGAGAAGAACCTACCTGCTCAGCGCAAGCCAGATCCGGTCGCTGAAGCAGCGCATTTCACCGCAGAGCAATGGCAATCTCGCCGACGGCGAGCGCGCACCACCGGCCGCCGTAGCGAAGCCCCCGACCACCTACGCCGCCGTGGCGTCCCTGGTCTGGACGTCCGGCGTCCGCGCCAAGAACGCGCTGAGCCGCACCGACGACGACGCCTACCTCCTGTTCGCCGCGGACTGCCGCGCGCGCCTGCGCCCGCCCATGCCCGCCGCATTCTTCGGCAACTGCGTCAAGCTGTGCTACGCGAGGGCCACGGTCGGCGAGCTCAGGGACGGCGGCGCGGGCGCGCGCCGCGTCGGCGGTGCGGGAGGCGGTCCGTGAGCAGCTGGAGGACCCGCTGGGCGACGTCGACCGGTGGCTGGAGCGCTACCAGGCGGTCCCGCCGGACAGGTTCGTGCAGATAGGGTCGTCCAACCGGTTCGCCGCGTACGAGATCGACTTTGGCTGGGGCAAGCCGAGCCGGGTGGAGCTCGCGGCGGTGTTCGTCAGAGAGTTCGTGGCGGTAGTCGGGGCGGCGGACGGCGCAGTGCAGGTGTCCGTGGTGCTTGACCGGGGACGCATGGACGGCTTCGAGGCCAACTTCTTGTCGCAGTTGGATGGTTTGGAATGACTCTTCTCATTGGTAGACTGATACTCCTATGGGATTGCCAAATGAACTCCTCTTATCGAAACATCTGAATTACTTGTTTCCCTTTTTCTCCCCTTGTGTACTACTCTAACATTAGTGTATCCTAAAAATTTAAGGACATTAAGAGAGAATACAAAAAAACATATGTGCCCTCACTTTATTTCCTAATCAAACATTGATTAATGGAGATTGGTTGATAAACGGTATAGAATTTAGATGCTAGAATACACTATATATTATAGGGCGGAGGAAGTAGATTTATAGTGATTTTCGAAAATTGTGGGTACAATCTGTATAACTAAATTTGGTTGATGAACAACTCCTAAAATCATAATTTTATACTCCCTTTATTCTAAATTATAAGATGTTTTTGACATTCTCTAGATACATTATGTATCTGGACATAATGTATATCTAAGTGTATAGTAAAAACTATATATCTAGAAAAAAACAAAACGTCTTACAATTTGGGAGGGTGTAATATAGTACTTTTAATCTAGGTGCTAAACATTAAAAAGAAAGTTGCATGCATGTTCATAAAAATTCAAATGGGCCTAGTAGATTGTCTCCATTTATGCCTTAGATCTAGTAAACGCGGTTGGTCTGTGTATGTCATGGATGGCACCATGATGGATTTGTGTTGTCCGTGTGTTAATTTTCTAGTGGCACTATAATAAATTAAAAGAGATTGGGGTTTGTTGAGATAAGTGAAGAATTAAGGAAATTTGTGTACCACCGTCTTTTAGTAAAGTGGCTCGTCGAGTTAGATTGCTTTTTGAATGTTGCCGAGGATGCTTGTGAAGTTTGATACCTAGTAGGTTTGATACTTCGATGCCAATGAGAAAATGACTCACTATGTGCTCATGAGAATTAAGTCACAGGGTGACTTGAACTTTTATAAGGATTTAGTGAAGGGATCTCAAATGACTTGTAGGTCGTAATTGACAATACGCTAAGGGTTGAGGGCGATAGTTCCATTGCGATGGAGCATTGATGTTAAGGATCCAGTCGAGCAAGTGAAACAAGAAGGCCCATCATCACACCAAGAACTAAGCTTCATACCGGACTTATCTTGTGTATCGGTTCGTGAGATGGCCCAAGATTGTCCTGGTTATGACCAGGCTCATGTTAATAACAACTACGATGTAGAGACCTTTGAGGAGTAGGACAATGAACAAAGGGTTGTCGATGATCAAGATGGTGACGATGAGCGAAATGAAGAAAGGGTAGATGATAATGTCCATGAGTTTAAGTGGCATGGGGGTGATGGGGTGGTAGAGGCTAGTCAAAGACGTGAACAAGTGATTGAGGAAAGACAGGCATTGGCCATCATGATGAAGTCATTACATGGTCGTACCCATCATCCAATGACTATGTCGGGCATAATGATTCCACCATTGACATCGAAGGAGAGGAGGTAGCTTGACACTACAAGTGTAGTGGTTCTCGATGTCGGTATCTTTGTTCGAGGACATTCATTTAACAAAGCTTGTGTTTCGTAAGGGTGGATAGAGGTCCACGGAGTCGAAAGCAAATAGTGAGAAGGTGTTCGTCCATAAGGGTATGGTTTTTGAGAGGCTTGAGGACCTCAAGTTCTGGCTTAAGGATGATTTGGTGCAACATCACTGTCCATAAGATGTGGTTCATTCGTCAACTAAGCTTAGGTAAATGGTTCGTTGCCAACAAGGCTGTGGATGGGGTGTATGGACATGTCCCGTTGACGATGAGGTTCAGAAGTGGAGGGTCACTAGAGTGAATCAACCACACACCTGTGGTATCTTAAGTCGGTCCCAAGAACACTCTCACGACAAAGGCACATTGCTTGCTAGATAAATGGTATTGCCGACCCGAACGCTTGTGTCTCCATGTTAATTGGATCCATTGTAGGGTTCACCAATTACCATGTAAAATTCATAAAGAATTTTTTTTATGCAGTAAGGAATATTGATTTGTCAACTATGATTTGATCTATTAGATTTCAATGAAGCATGGTAACTTACCATGTTCATTTTTTAATCGCCACATCCTAAAATATAAGCGAGTTTGCCCCAAAATTAAACTATTTCAAGTTTGTCTAAGTTTACAGAGAAGAGTATTATCGTCTATTTAGTTACATCAAGACGCAGGGAATAGCAAAATTGACTGGAATTTGGAGGCACTGCTTCCATTTGTCTTTGTTAGGCCACAAAAGGGTTGATATAATGTGTCTTCTTGGAGCGATCGATCAGTGTTTCGCAGTGAGTCCGACCATGCTTGCCAAATGGTAGTATTCTAGCCTCCACGGTTTATATTTTACACATTAGAAAATTGCCAACTTCGATATCATCTAGGAACCGTAGGATAATAAATTGTTTGCAACTCAAAAGCAGCAGGCAGTGATCAACAAGCTACCAGCACCATGAGGTCCCGGGTGCGAATTCTCGCCGTCACCCATGTGCTTCCAGCCCCAGATCATCAGACTGCCATCTGGTCACCACCAGATGCCCTCTCCGACGACGGCCATGTCAAGCTCTCGTTCGTGGACGCCTTATTCGTCAACAGGGTGCCAATGCAGCGGCTCTTCTTCTACGAGGGCCCCGACGTCCCGCCCTTCCAGTCCCTCGTCCGCTCCCTGAAGTCCTCCCTCGCCACCGTGCTCACCGTCTTCCAACCCCTCGCCGGCAAGCTCACCCACCGCGCCTCGACGGGCGACGTCGTCGTGGACTGCTCCCCGGCCGCGGTCTCGCCAGGCATCAGGTTCGTCGAGGCCGAGTACGCCGGCAGCATCGACGACATGCGCCGTCTCTCCGTCGGCGACGAGCACCACACGGAGGCGCTGATGCTGCTCGGGCCGGAGCTGAACGCGGGGCGCCTGCCGGCCCCGGTGCTCGCCGTGCAGGTCACCAGGCCAGCCATCGGAGCTGCGCGCGCCGACGTGGTGGTCGGGGTTTCCATCCACCACGCCGTCGCCGACGGCCACTCCGTGTGGCAGTTCATGAGGGCGTGGTCCGCAGCGTCTCGTGACCCCGCGTCGGACTCGGACTTGGTGCCGCCGCCGCCGCCGACATGGGATCGGACGGCGATCCCGTACCCCAAAGCCGAGGAGGTGGCTCTCAAGTTCTTGCGCACGGTCGCTCCGGTGCTGCCTGTGGCAAGATCGCTGTCCTTGTACACGCCAGTGGACCAGCGGAGGAGAAGCTTCCTGCTCCGCGCCGATGACATCAGGTCGCTGAAGCAGAGCATACTGACACAAAGCCAAGCCATCAGCAGACACCTGGGCACATTCCCAAGCACCTACGTCGCGGTGTCGTCGCTGGTGTGGACGTCCATCGTCCGCGCAAAGTCCCTAAACGACCCCGCCGGCGGCGACGCCTACTTCCTGGTGCCAGTGGACCTCCGGCGCCGCCTCGGCCCGGCGCCGGCGGTCGACGAGCGCTACTTCGGGAACTGCGTGGCGCCGTGCTTCGCGAGGGCCGCCGTGCGCCACCTACGCGACGGCGGCGCCGGGCTAGGACACGCCGCGGCGGCTATCAGCGACGCGGTCCGCGCGCAGCTCAAGGACCCGCTGGGCGGCGCGGATCACTGGCTCGAGGACTTCCTCGCGGTGCCCAAGGAGAGGCTCACGTTCACGGGGTCGTCGAACAGGTTCATGGCGTACGAGACGGACTTCGGGTGGGGAGCGCGGAGCCGGGTGGAGCTCGTGTCGCTCTTCACCAGGGAGCTGGTGCTGCTGCTGGGCGCGGAGGACGGCGGCGCGCAGGTCACCGTAGCGCTGGACCATGCCCACATGGAGGGCTTCGCAGCCAACTTCATGCAGGTGTCACGACGAGGGGACGGAGCCAAAAATTAGGAGTAATATATGACGACGCAGGTGGTTGATAAAAAATCAAAACTCGATCATTTGCTTGGGTGTACTGCAGTGTGCCAGTGTCTGAAACTCATGTGTCTGTAATAAGCCAAACAAACAAGAGCAGTTTCGCAAAAAAAAAAAAGATACACGGGGTTGGGGGGTGGTTGCTGCGTAACTTTGGTATCCACGTCAATCCACATGAACCCTAATCCACTCCAAGACTCCAACACATGTGGTGGAAACCCCAATCCAATCAACACACATGAATTAAGGTGGATACGAGCGTATCCAAACAAGCTCTGATTTTTTTCCAATAATTGATGATTGTTGTATTTTAAGTAGGGCACATTTGCTTTCAATAAAAAACAACTATAGCATAAGTCTCATATTAAATGCTAAGTTTGGGTCCTATATAGGATTATGACTAAATTAAAGGTTGGCCCAACTTAAATATCATCAACTTAGGCCTTGTTTAGTTCCCCTCCCTAAAGTTTACTCCCTATCACATCGGATGTTTGGACACATACATGAAGTATTAAATATAGACTAAAAAAATAACTAATTGCACAGATTGAGACTAATTTGCGAGATGATTTTTTTAAGCCTAATTAGTCCATGATTTGACAATGTGATGCTACAGTAAACATGTGCTAATGACGGATTAATTAGGCTTAATAAATTCGTCTCGCAGATTACTGAGGACTTCTGTAATTTGTTTTATTATTACTATCCGAACACTCCCATATGACACCCGATGTGACGTCCCTAAACTTTACTCCCTGAATTTAAACACCATCTTAAGCTGGCTGTGTCCACCGTGGAGAAGGGCCAGAGGAAGCCCGGGAGATGGCAGTGTGGGGGTCGGGGAGGTGGAAGAGGCGGGCCGGGACGGATGCAGCGGGCGGTGGCGGCGGCGGCGGGGAAGATGGGAAGTTGCACGGGCAGAGGCGAAGGAGGGTTAACTGTGGCGGCGGACCTCCCGATCTAGCCGATGGGAGGCCTGGCGGCAGATGAGGTGCTGGCACTGGTGGGGAAGAAGGCCGGCGACGGGCTCCCTGCGGGTGGCCGTGTCGGTAAGTTTCCAATCGCGTGGTGAAATAGCTAGAACAAAAAATTGGGTAGCCACCTATTGGCCCAATAGGAATTGAGGGGGAATTTGGAGGCCAACAAAATTAGGAGACCTAGGAGAGCTTGTTGGAGCTGTTTAGCGGTGTTGGTATTCTTATTGGAGATGCTCTAAAGTTAAGAAGCCGAGTTGTTATTCTTCTACACAGTATTGAAGAAGTAAAGTGCTGATGCAAATATCAATCAGCATTCAGCACTACTCAGCAGTCAAGGACCCCCAACTATGCCTCGTTCCCTCGCCCTGCTACCCGCAGGCCGCAGCCGCAGGAGGTTGGCCGCGAAGCCCTCCATATGCTCTGGATCGAGCGTCACGGTGACCTGCACGCCGCCGTCCTCCGCGCCCAGCAGCAGCACCAGCTCCGTGGCGAACAGCGACACGAGCTCCACTCGGCTCGGCGCGCCCCACCCGAAGTCCGTCTCGTACGCCATGAACCTGTTGGACGACCCCGCGAACGTGAACCTCTCCTTCGGGAGCGCGAGCGTGGAGTCCAGCCAGCTCTCCATGGCGCGCACCGGGTCCTCCGGCTGTGCGCGGATGGCGTCACGGATGGCAGTGGCCGCCCGCGCGAGCCCGAGCCCGGCGTCGCCGCACAGGTCGCGCGCGGCGGCTGTGGCCACGCACGGCACGACGCAGTTGCCGAAGTACCGCTCGTTGACCTGAGGGCCGAGGCGGCGCCGGCGGTAGTCCACGGCCACGAAAAAGTAGCAGTAGGCGTCGCCGGCGACGGCGAGGTGCGGGGCTCGGGACTTGGCTCGCACGATGGACGTCCACACCAGGGACGACACCGCGACGTAGGTGCTTGGAGGTGTGTCCAGCTGCTCCGCGACGGCGGTCTCTGTTTGTGTCCGTATGTGCTGCTTCACCGACTGGATCTCGTCGGCGTGGATCAGAAAGCTTCTCCTCGACCGGTCCGGCGGCGAGCACGAGGAAGGCGATCTGACCTGCTCGATTGTCACTCAAAATCTGCTTCAGAAAATTGTTCATATACAAACCATGTAATGTAACGAAGAGGATCGATATCGAATAGGTGCAGTGGCAGCGATTACCACAGGCAGCGCCGGCGCAATCGCGCGCAAGATCTTGGAGGCGAGTTTGTCTGCTTCGGGGTACCGAATCACCGTCCGGTCAAACGTCGGCGGCACGAGGCGCGCCATGGCCTCCGAGCCCTCCTCCGCCCGCGCCACGGCTGTCCACGCCCTCATGAACTGCCACACGGAGTGGCCGTCAGCCACGGCGTGGTGGATGGCCACCGCGACCACCACGGCGCGCCCGCTGCCGACGGCCGGCCTCGTCACCTGCACCGCTATCACCGGGGCCGGCAGCTGCCTCGCGTCGAGCTCGGGCCCGAGCTCCATCAGCGCGTCCCTGTCTCCCTCGTCGCCGCCGCCACTGGCCACGCTGCGCATGTCGTCGATGCTGCCGGCGTACTCGGCCTCCACGAACTTGACGCCAGGCGACACCGCGGCCGGCGAGCAGTCCACGACGACGTCACCGGCTGATGGGCTGTAGGTGAGCTTCCCTGCAAGAGGGAAGAAGATGGCGAGCACGGTGGCGAGGGAGGACCGCAGGGAGCCGACGAGGTACGGGAAGGGCGGGACGCCGGGGCCCTCGTACAAGAACAGTCGCCGCATCGGCATGACCATACCGACGAACTGGGAGTCCATGAACGTCAGCTTCATGATGCCGTCGTCGTCGGGGAGGGGCAGCTGCGGCGACGGCGAGTAGAGCGCAGCCCGATTTTGATCCGGGAGGACATGGGTGACGTTGAGAACTCGCACGCTGGAGCTCATGCTCATCGTACGGATAATCTGGCGATGCAAGAACCAGCCAGCCAGCAGGAGTATGGTCAAAGCACATTACACATCGGTCTCACCTGCTGCCGGCGACTTCTCGCCCACCATTGCATCGATTGGAGACAAAGGCCAGGGTGGTTGGGAACTTGGATGGTGCAGTCCGTGTCGGTCGCTTGTGTTGCCTACTGCTTCTTCCCAGGAATATTTTTTGTAAACCTTCTCTTGTTGTCTGGTTTAATAAATTTCACCCCTCCGGTTCTCTCTCTCAAAAAAAAAAAAAAAACGTACAAGTCAAATATAATTATATTTAACTAGGTTTATAAATTCTATATTTATCATGAAATTATGTTCCATGATTATAATAATCTAATATACTTGTCGGTGCAGAAAGTGACAAACACGTAAATATTTGTAGTTTTACCGTATGTTGTGATTGGAGGTGGCCTAGCACTCAATGACACAGGGTTTATACTGGTTTAGGCAACGTGCCCTACGTCCAGTTTGAGTCGGTCGGTGACTTTATTCCTGAGCCCAGGTGCTTGAAGTTTGCAGTGGGGTTACAAACGAGAAAGAGAAAGATGGGGGTACAAGAGGTCCGGTCGGACTCTGGTCAGAGGGGCCGAGAGTGACAGGAGCTCCGATATGTGCTATGTGTTCGAACGTGTGCTCGAGGTTTGAACCTGGTGGTTCTATTGTTGTGTACTAGCGAACTTGATCGATCTGAATCAATCGAGTCTTGTGGAAGAGAGCGCATTTCCTTTTATAGATGAAGGGGATGACCTTATAGGAGAGAGAAAGAAAGTGTACGTATGCTAAGTCTTGTTGCCCATGCCGTCGGGTACAAGATGATGGTAGACGCCCACATTACTGTTTAATGTCAGATGCATGTGGGAGGTTGCGTCGTCTTCTTTTGGTATGGCAGACGTCGGTGCCTGCCATACTGTTGATGCCCAGAGGCACGTAGAGGGTTTTACCATGTTCGTCTGGTGTGGTAAATGCCGACACCCACAACACTGTTGATGCCCAGGGGCATGTGGGGGGAGCCTTACCGTATTTGTCCGGTATGGGAGTTGATGACGCCCATAACACTGTAGGGAAAAATATTGGCGCCTACAACACTGCTTGGGTACTATCGTATAGGTGCACAGCGTACGGTCCCTGGTATTGCGGTTGACTTGAGTGCCCTGCCTTACTTTCTCCATCCGTTTCCTAGTCCTTACTGAGCGGGCGTCCCCGGTCGGTTGGTCCCAGTCGGTTCTGATTGCGCCAGTCAGAGAGGAGTTGTAAGCAGGGGTTCGACGCAATTTCGGTCGCAGAAACGGGCCGAAGTCGGAAGTGGTGTTCCGGTCAAGCCTTCCGATCGGAGAGGCCGTCTAGAGGCGGGCTGGAGATTGAAGCGAGCTCTCCGGTCGGAGAGGCGGGCCGGAGTCAGAAGCGGGCGCCGTTTCTCCTCGGCCAGGCCTTCCGGTTGGAGATTGGATCGCCCTTCTGGCCCGTCATTTAGATGTTTGGGCCGACCCATGAGCCGTGCGTTGTTCGTAACGTTATTTTGTTGGGCTGAGCCTTTGCTGGGAAGCCGGTCCATGAGGGACCCCGGGTTTATGAAACTGACAGGAGCCCCCGAGCCCCGGGCGATTTTGGTAGAATCGTCTGGGGGATTTTTGTCTTGACGGTGGGTGCGCGCGAGCGCACCCGCGGGTGTAGCCCCCGAGGCCCCGAACGATTCAGGTAGAATCGTCTGGGGGTTTTTTTTCGTGTTGCCAGCGGGGGAGGTTTCATTTCATCAGCGGGTGCGCGCGAGCGCACCCGCGGGTGTAGCCCCCGAACCCCCGGGCGATTTGGGTAGAATCGTCTGGGTTTTTTTTTTGTCAGCGGACGTGTGTGTGCATTTTAGTCGAGACAGCTAGTTTAGAGATCGGGCGAGACGGAGCTCGCGGATCCTGGCGTCGGTGCAGTCCCGCGCAGCCGAGGCAGTTAGTTTAGGGATCGGGCGAGACGGGGCTCGTGGATCCTAGCGTCGGTGCAGTCCCGCGCAGCCGAGGAGCCAAGGCATAGTCTGAGGGATGGGGCGAGTTCGGGGT